AATTTAAGAAATTCATCGTTTAGTTAAAATAAAGTGTTGTTAAAATTCAAACGCGATTTTGTCGATTCAGAAGTTATGGCGTATGGATCAAAATAGCACTCAGTCGACGAATAATCTATTTTCCATATTTTTTCTTTGATTCAAATTTCCTAATGACAATTAAATTAAAAAGGCAAGAGCCATATTTTATTATGAGCTATTTTATATTTAAAAACTTGAACTTGAAAAATTTTAGTGCACAAATCAAAAATTCTTTAAATTTATTATAAAAATTATAGCCCAATGAATATTTTGTGGCAGATGAAAGGAAACGCAATTTAAAACAAGAATATTTTACCAAATTGTTATCTTTTAACACATTGGTTCTTAAATTTTGAAATAAATAATTTTTTTTTGTATATTTTTAGAATTTCAAAAAAAAAAAATCATTTGAAATGAAAAATTATTTTGTATAATAAAACTGATTTTTACCCCAAAAACAAAAAACAAAGCGTTTTGCTATTGTTTTTTTTTTTATAAATTTCAATTAAATTCCCATCGGATAAATTAATTTCAATGTTTAAAAATCAAAAAAAAAAAATTTTTATATTTTACCTATGTACACCCGACATACATTCGTTGTTGTTCTATTTAGACTAGTTTTTTGTAGAATTTTTTTTCCAAAACCGAAAACAAAAAATATTATTTTTGTTTTATTTTTTCAAAATTTGTCACTTAAATTTTCTTTTAACTTTTCATTCTTCGACATATCCTGTATTCAATACACAACAAAACAATCAGAACCCCGGCACAAAATCTATTAAATTTATTAATACGTAGGCTGCGCGATGTTCACATAACCTCAACTATAAGTAATTTTGTTTAGTTTTTTTTTTTTAATTTTTAAATTACTAACTAATTTGCCTATTTGTTTTCATTTAATTTTCCATTTAAATATTAAAAAAAAAAAAAAAGAAATAATAAAGAAAAATTGGGGAAAATAAAATGTCACAACGGCAATATGGAAACACGCGACTATACTAACCTACCTTAAACTATATGATAATTTTTGTTATGCACATGTCAGAGGTATTCCCCGGAGAACAACGCCATCTGATTTCATTGAAATAAAATTAGACAAAAAAATAATAAAATAATGATTTTTTGTTTCACTTTTTTTAATTTTTATTATTTAAATTTTTCAAAACATCCGCAATTATTATATATAGTGTGGCTTTAAAGGTTTCCTTACCCGATTTTTAAATTATTACACTTCACACTTACACATAGAGTAGAGAATGACAGTTTTAAGATCCGTTTTGTTACTTAATTTTCAATTTGAAAATTAAATGTATATGTATGTGTGAATGTAATTGTGTTTATTATATATAAACATAATTTTTTTTAGTGTATGCAGACATATTATATAAGTGTAACAAAATTTAAGATATTTAATTAGAAATTATATAATTACTTCTGATTGGAATGTGATCATTTTAAGAAATTAAACTTTTGATTTAAAATTAATTATACTATTCGCTCTACCTTTAAGTAGAGTATGGAATAATGACGAGTCTATGGAATATTTTTCCGCAATCGTATGAGTGTTGTTTGTTGCCAAAGATATTTTTGTAAAAACTGCATAAAATTTCTTCAATTACATAACAATTTTTTTAATATTTCATAAATCAAATAAAAATTTTAGCTATTTTTTCTTATCATTTGTTGAATTCAAAAGTTTTCTACTTAAAATTTTTCACTTAATTGAAATAGACAATGATAGTTTTAGTCCTTCTATATATGTGTGCTGGATAAATTCGTAATATAAAAAATTAAAACATTAGTTGGGATTACAGCCTATACCTTCAACGATGCCAAAACTCTAAACAGCTGTTTACGTTCAAAAGATTATTCTTCCAATAAATCTTTGAACCCATAAGCAGAAAACTATTGCACCTATTAAAAATCCGATAAAATATTTTTAACTCTAAAATCCGCTTCTTCAAAAATATTCAAAAATAAACCTTTAGTTCATTTAATTAAATTTTTGTTTTTAAATTTAAATTCTTTTTGAAAATTTTCATTTAACTCGAAATTTTATTTAAGATTTTTTAAATGCGCTTAAACACCTAAACGAATATGGAATACAAAAACTTCAATATGCAATTAATTTCATATAGAATACTCAGGACAATAAAACAATCTAGTCAATCGGTTAGGTTCAATAAAAAAATAAATAATTAAATCCAAATACAGTTACATTAAATGTATAAAAATTAATGAGGACGGAACCAAGCAATATAAACAATGTATTAGAATTTTTCATTTTTATAATTGCGCTTTGAACTCTGTTTTAATCTAAATAATTATTATATTTAAAATTTATAATTAGATTTACGAATTCTGAAAATTGTTTCATTAATTTTTAATTGAATATTTTGAACTATTCTTAATTAAAGATGAAAAAAAATTCCGACCATAATATTATACTTGCATAAAGCCATATAAGATTTCTGAGAACAATGATTACAGTGATGTACAAATAATACCACACATACCTATATATTATATATAAGTATGTGATTGTGGGATGATAATAGAAAAAACCATTAAAAAAGAATCATAAAGAGTGTCATAAAGTCATTTTAATTTTTCTAGCAGAAAATCCAAATAAAAATCCAAAATAATTCGCTGAATCTACTTTACCCAGATTTTTAATATACTTAAGTCAACAAAATAAATTATTTGTCGATTTGACATCATAGAGAAATTTTTACAAAAATACTTTTGGGAGGAACTCTGATTTTTTTTTTGTTTTTTTCATTTTTCGTGAATTTTCTTTTTTTATGATTTTAATATTTTTATAGCCAAGCGCATAAAAAAAATTTTCTGTTGTAAATTGACGTATCTATGTATTATTTTTTTCTTTCTTCCTCTTCTTTCTCCCTCTTGTGTTATTATTTTGGCTCACTTCCTATACTCATCTCTACTTTTCACTATATAGTGTCCTTTTAATAATATTCGTCTATTATTTTGTTACTTTCTATAAAATTGTTTTCCCATCATAAAATAACATCGAGAGTATTACTTAATTTTTATACTGCATATATACAGGATAATGAAAGGATAATGCTATTCATAAATAAATAGGTAACATCTACCATACTATAAATATATGTATGTATACGTATACCAATATTAGTACCTTGACTTTTTAACAAACGCATAACGAACGCATCATAAAAAGTAGCGATAGCTTTTTGAATTTATCCTGACTTTTTTTTTTAATAAAAGAAAAACAATTTTGAATTTGTTGTTTTTCTTGTTTTATTAATTTTTATTTTATGATTTTACACATTTTGATACGGTGAAAGAATGAACAAAACACTAGAGAATTTTATAGAAAAGTATCAAAAGTATAAATGAACAAAAATTTAAGGATCGAAAGTGAAAAAGGACTTTTATGTTTATCCTTCAAATTGATTAAAATAAAAGTATATTGATGTAAATTAAAATGGAAGTAAAAAAATAAAAGAAAAAATAAAAGCATAAATAAAATTTCAAAGGAAAACATGACACTATCAATATTCAATTGGCGTACACTTAGCTCTTTTATAATGGCATATGAATACAGTAGTCCTTCATTTTGTCATAATAATTTATAAGTATGTATACATTGATTTTTAAGAGGACAACAATTAAATACAAATTGAATAACCTTGTTATATGTGCTAGTGCTGCGCACAATATAATATTCAAAAAAATTAAAAATTTACTATGCATGTCAAATGTAGGATATTTGTAGGAAATTTTACACAATTAAATGCAATTCTCATTCTGTGGAATTTGACATAAAGTTATTGTAAGTTGTTTTAATACTAATACATCAATAATTGTTATAATTGTATGTACAAACAAATTAATTTTTGAATTTTTCCGGTAAATATTGAGCAATCACTTCGCTATTTATTCCTCATATGTAAGAATAAGCCGGAATTTCTTATATAAAGAGAAAACTTTTAATAATATAATGAGTTTTCAAAAAAAAAATAAGTAAAAACCCGACACCTTCACAATCTGAGCTTAAAAACATGTTTCTAAAATATCCATAATTAGCTTTCATACCTCTGTAGCTCAGTTGGTAGAGCGTCCGCCTAGAAAGCAGTAGGTCTCTGGTTTGAGTTCACTTCGAGGAGAAAAATTTTTTAATTTTTCGCCCTTTAACTCGTTCCTTTGATTACGTCATCCATCTGCTCTGCAGTTGTATGAAGAAATTTCCATTAAGTTAAGATAATTAGCTTTCATTGTTAATGCTTCATGTGATATGTCCTACCCATAATTGGACACACGACTGCCAATTTTCATGAATCTAACTTTATTATTTTTCCAAATATTTAAAATTATATTACAAATTTTTGCGTTTTATGGCAACTACCCAGTACTGGTCCAGTGTAGCCATTCAATTAAAATTTTCATAATATATGTAGAATGTAACTGGACACACCCTTTCAAAACACTTCTTCGTACAAAATTTTAATAACTGTTTTAAATTTTAAACAAATCTACACACATAAATGTGATAATTTTTTTAGATTTTTTATCATCATTGATTTTTTTTTTAGGTTTCATCATTAAAATCTTTGCAATATTTTGTAGCTTACACTGAAAAAGAAATTTCTTGTTAATTACAAATGTAAAGTGAAATTCAAAATACCTTAACACCCTTAGATAATAATAAATTTTATAGTGTATAAAATGTGTAAAGTTTCGTCAATGCCATCATTTCTTTCTCTTTGTATCCTGTATAGTATTATCAATTTTAAACTATATATGTATAGATATTTAAACTATATATGTATAGATGTTCAAATCTCATATTCATATATAATATTCACTTCATGTACAAACATACAATCGAATTTATTGAGAATATTTTATGTGAAAAATTTCATTTTTAAAAAAAATTAATTTTCACATTTTATAACTTTTTATTTTATATTTGTTTTTTTTTTTTTTTGCAGATTTTTCCTGAAATTTTTCTTAAAATGTAATCAAAATTGTTTAAAAAATGCAGGAAATCCACGTGATATGAGAAGATTTCAGGTAAGATTATAGAATTGTATTGCAATAATTAACAATAATAAAGCGCAGTATCTTCGAATTAATTAACTTCGAATTAACAACAATTAATTAAATTTTTTTTATGTTTTTAAGGTTGTGATAGCAACACAAGTTAGTGTTGAAGGACCATTATTAGCTATATCTGATAATATGTTTGTTCATAATAATTCAAAACATGGTAGACGAGCAAAACGTTTGGATGCAACGGAAGGTACTGGAAATTCTCCTTTGTCCATAACGGGTCATCCCCTTGCACCTGACAGTACTTACGACGGTCTGTAAAAGAAATTCAAAAAAAAGAGTTTTGATTTAAAATTTTTTGTTTTTTTTTTTTTTTGTTTTTTTGTTCTATTTAATTTTCTTTGTCAAAATTTACAAAAAAATTAAAGAAATTTTTTGTTAAAATTAATGTCTAAATAAAAATTACAAAAATTCTCTAAAATCAAATTAAATAATTTTAATTTGTTAAGTTCTTCAAATTTGATTGTCTTATAGAGTTGACAATATGTTGGATCTTTTTCGTATGTAATGCAATTTATTTTAAATTTTTTGGATTTTAAAGAATTTTTGAAATTTTTTTTTTTTTCGTATATGAGTTCGCTTGATGTGTGATTTTTTTTGTTGTTTTATTATAATTTGTTTTTTAATTTTAATTGGAATGAAGAATAAGGAAAATTATTTAAAAAAAAATTTTTTTTTGTGTTTTGAAAAAAAATTTCTTGAATTCTCACAGCTTTAAATAATTACAAAAACAATAAAAAAAAACCTATATACTGGTCAGGAGCAGGAGGAAGGGTTTTAAATCTTATCAAATTTTATTCTAAAACCAATGATGAATTTTCAAGAATTAATTTTTTTCTCTTTTATTACGAAAATCGTTTACAAATATGCTATAGTAATAATCAATAAAGTTCAAATTAATATCATTAATAAACATACATATTTATTAATATACATAAATAAACTATTAATAAAAAATCCTGGCTCTAAATTGAAAAGTGTTCTAAAATTCACAGTATCTGAAATTCATAATGAATTATTACAAGATATTTTATAGAATTCATTAAAACATAAAATCCCTTGCATTTTCAAGTCCTATAACAAAAATTAAGTATTTAGAAATCGAGAACCCACCCGGGGCCAGACGTTGGCATATAACAGTTTCTAAATCTTTTTATTATTTTAATTAATTTGTACAAACTTTTAATTCAACTTTATATTTTTTGTAAAATTATCGTGTTATTTTTAATGCCTTTTCTGTAAAAATTAGAATAGTAATGCCGTTTAATATTTCATATACCAAATAAATAAAGCGCACTCATTATGAAAATTTCCTAAAATTTTAAATGTGCAGTTTACATCGAACTTGGTTTTAGGCATGGTATCACATAAATACAATAACAAATTTGAAAAATTTAAAAATTGATGTTCAATATTGTGAAAAATACGAAGAAACACTCAATTGCAATTAAAAAAGAAATATGGACTTTTAGAAATTTCCACGCAAAATTATTTTAAACATTCGAAAAATAATATATTGTAATATCAAACATAATTAATAAACTAAATTAAAATTTATAGCAAAAATTATTCGCAATCAAATAATTTAATTTTAATTATAATTATTACTATAGCATAGTAAAAGCATTTCATATCCTCAATTTTATATATTTAAATTTTATAAAAAGTATATTTAATTATTTCCGAAAAAAAAAATAAAAATATTATTTTATATTTTATTTGATTTACATTTAATATTTTATTCTATTTGAAAATTTTGCATTTTAATTAAAATTATAAAATCTATATTAAATATGAATAATTCTAATTCAAAATTAAAACTCAATTAATAAGAATTAATTTCCAACAAATTTTATTTTCAAAATTTTATATTTGTTCCAATTTCTTTAATTAAAATAGAAACTTAAGTAACATTAAATTTAAGGAAAACCCTCTATTTCAAATTTTATTCCAAGATTAATTAAAAATTGAGCGAATAAATCATTCGCTGAATTCAAGAATAAATCAAATTGTTAATTGTACATAGAATGCAAAATTAATAGATCTCAATAAGTTGTTAAGTTATTAATATTAAGTTGTAAATTTCTTCTATTTCCAATAAAGTAAAATATAATTGATTTATAATTTGTCTACAATGTTTTGTTTTAAATATTTTGTGTAGATATTATTTGTATAGAGAAATCTATGGTCAATTTAATTTAATTTTTATTTTTGAAGCAGAGTAGAGTTGCATTAACACCGATTTAATTTAAACGCTTAAATTATTTTGTTAATACTATTTTATATTAATTTCTATGTATTATACGTATATACTAACAAAATAAAATGAATTTTCTTAAGAGAAAAATAAAAATTTTATTAGAATTTTTCACTAAATTCATTTAAGCAGATATAATTCATGAATTTTTCCAATAAAACAAATTGTCCGAATTTATTTGGAGTCCAAATTTTGAATTTTTAATTGAGAAAATCTACTTAAATGAATTCATCCTAATATAAGATTTCTACTGTTAATTGACTGATGATTAAAAAAAAATCCAATTAAATGAAGATTCTTGTTATTTTATGTATACAGGTTTATATCCACCACTTCCAGTTGCAACACCTTGTATTAAAGCGATATCACCTAGTGAAGGTTGGACAACTGGTGGAGCTACAGTTATTATTGTTGGTGATAATTTTTTTGATGGCCTTCAAGTTGTATTTGGTACAATGTTAGTATGGAGTGAACTTTTAACATCACATGCAATTAGAGTTCAAACACCACCACGACATATACCTGGTGTTGTAGAAGTAACATTATCATATAAAAGTAAACAATTTTGTAAAGGATCCCCCGGACGATTTGTATACGTTTGTAAGATTTATTTGATTGATCTAAAATAAAAAAATTTTAATTACCTAATAAATTAAAAATAAATGGTTAAATTTTTTTTTTTTTGGTATTTTTTTCTCAAAATAGCATTAAATGAACCAACAATAGATTATGGTTTTCAAAGATTACAAAAATTAATACCAAGACATCCTGGTGATCCAGAAAAATTACAAAAAGAAATTATACTTAAACGTGCTGCTGATTTAGTTGAAGCTTTATATTCTATGCCAAGGTAAACATATTATCATATTGTATACATATTTTTGTTTTAAATTTATTGTGATATTTTTTAAGATCACCGAGTGGAACATCTAGTTTTAATGCATATACAGGACAATTAGCTGTTAGTGTTCAAGATGGCACCGGTCAATGGACTGAAGATGAATATCAAAGAAATCAAAGTAGTAGTGTTAGTCCAAGAGGTGGTTATTGTAGTAGTGCATCAACACCACATTCATCTGGTGGATCTTACGGTACAACAGCAAATGGTTATGGTTCAACTGCTAATATGGGTACATTATCATCATCACCTGGAAGTGTTTTCAATTCAACGTCGAGTGAGTACAGTATTTAAAATTGTATAAATGAAATAATAAAATTTTTAAAATTTATAAAAAATAATTAATCTTTTATATTACAATGTACTTGTAGTTAAGCTATTTATTCAATTTTAATTCTTCAAATTTAAAATTATTTATTTATTTCTTTTTTTTTATGTTTGTTTAATTTTCCTTTGATTTCTTTATTTTCTTATTTAATTTAATTTATTTTTATCTTGCATGATTATATCAATATTCAAAAAAAAAATTTAAAAAACAAAAAACCCCAAAAACAAAAACTCGAAAAATCGAAAAATACTTATATACAAAATATACAGCTAGTGCTTTTTCACCTTTAATTACGTCGGCAACATCCCAATGGCATCATAGTTTAGTTCCACCGCCACATCCAGCACCACCACATACCAGTTCTCATCATCATCACGGCCATCCCAGTCATCATCATTATCACCATCACCAATCCTGGCATAATCCTCAAACTACTGTAGCTGCAACTGTTATATAAAAATACTTATAAAATGTATAGTAGTTTTTTTTATTTAATTTTTTATTCATATTTTTTATTTAATTTATGTGTTTTTTTTTTATATTTTTTTTTTCTGTTTCATTGGTTTATATTAATGTATACTTTGCATTTTTTAATTTCCTTATATAATAAAAATATTTTATTCCATTTAACAAACACTCCTCTGCTGTAATCTCTACATACAAATATTTTAATATTCATAAATGATAATTTCATCAATATTTATTAATATTTTTTAAATTATTCTTTTTTTTTTGTACATTTTAGGAGTTGGCAGTCTTGCTTTTAATCCTTTCGCTTTACCAACTTGCAGTACACAAGGTTATAATGCTAGTACGCTGGTAACATCATCAAAATAATATTTTGACTAGTCCTCAGATTATATGCCGAATGATGAATTATAGAATGAATTATAGAAATTAATTGAAATTTACAAAAATTTTTTTTTTAATAAATTTTTTATTTGTAAAATTATTATTCAAAAAACAAAGACATATCATTTTAAATTATGCAACTCTTTCACATTAATTACAATATATTAATATTTTTATTAATATTTATTATGCATATTTATATATATTAATTTTTTGTAAATAAATATGTATAAATATTATATATATTTTACATAATATGCATAGAAGAATATTTTTTATTTGAAAGGTACTAAGCATTTGGAATGCAAATAAATAAAATTTTCACTATAGTCACATTGTTTGAGTTCAAATTTCGAAAATCACAAAACTTTTCGGTATTCAAACAATTATTATAATGAATTTATTATAGTAATTTTAAAATTATTTAAATAAAAAATTTATTATTGAATTTAAAATTTTTGAACTGAAAATTAATAATAAAAGTAAATTGTTTCTGAATAATAAAAGAAGCATTACACCATTTGACTGAAAACCATCCAATATTTTTCAAATTCAAAATATTATTCACAATGACAAATTGAATAGTATTGTAAATTTTCCGTAGAAACAATTTTGATCAAATTAAGTTCCCAATTTTAATACAAAATAAACAAAGTAAGGAAATTTAAAAAAAACCTGTGTATTTCAACCAGAACTACATTTGAAATACCCTTTTCATTAAGCTTTCTTGATTTTATTAGCTTTATTAGCATTCCAAATACATATAGGTACATGCAATATGCATTTTATACAGTGAAAATTATTTAATAATTTCAAATAATTATCAAGTTATATACATATCTACAAATATCAAACCATTTATAAATTCATTATATTGAAAATGAATTTGAAATAATTTTTTTTCCTTTTTGCTACATTAAAAATATTTTTCATTTTAATTCTATTCAATAAAAACAGTGAATCTATATATCAATTGATTTAAATATTAAGTCATATAAAAAAAAAAATTTTTTTTTTGCAACGTCCTGTTTCATCCTCTTAGGCAACATAGAAATGTACGAAAAATGAAATTATATAAAAAATATAATTTTTAATAATAAAAATTTTTACCCTAGTGCAATATATTTGTTCAGTTTTATAATATGAATACATATACATACATATATAGAAATAAATATATAATATGTATATATATTATGTATTTATGTATTATACAATATTAAATTTTTTTTTTTTTAATTTTTTAAAATTAAAATTATTTATGAATAAAAACCATTTAACTAATATTATAATTACTTATTTGGTATATACAATAAAATATAGAATTATTATATATAAATTATAATTTTTTAAGTATTAATTTAATAATATTTATAAATAAAATATAAAATAATTAATGAATTGTGTAAATAATTAAATAAAAAACAAAAATCAAATGTAGTTAAATTTAATATTAAATAAATAATTTTTTTTTTCGGAATATTAAGAATATATAAAATGAAAAAGTTTAAACATAATTTAAAATAAATAAAATGAAAATTTCTGCACAAAACATAATTTTATAAATCACACACAAATTATAAAAGAAAATAAATTTTTCATATAAAAATGAAAAAAAAAAAATATCAAATTTAAATTAAAAATTATTTAAAATTTTTTTATTTTTTTTTCTTTACTAATTTTTTTTTGTAGTTTGATTTCGTTATAGCGGTTACTAAACTGGCAAATAATAAAATTCGATTCATCTCCTAATTTTTTCGATGCATCTTCAATTGATAAAACGGCTCCGTCAAGGCTGCAAAATTTATACAAAATACATACAAAATAGAATTTTCAAAAAAATTTTCATAATAAAATGGAACTAAAATATTTTGTTATGAATCAAAAGTTTGGAAAAAAGGCAGTTTTCCAATATCGTTCTTTTGTTTTACAAAAAGAAAATCTAGACTTTGCAATATTTATAATATAAATAATACTTCCAAATGCGTTTGAAAAGCAAACTAATTTTACTCTTAATATTTGAAATGGTTTAGCTTCATAAAGATTATACAAAATTTTATGCCTCATGGTTACGATGTTCATCATCAGAACAAACTCGTAAATTATGGAGAAAAAAAAATTATTGAATTATTTTTCAACAAAATATTCTATTTTTAGTGAATAATAATTGTCCGTTTTTGTCCTTAATTGAAATTTAATAAAATTTCACTTCACTTTACCTATACTACCTTTATTCTAAAATAAATTATTATTTTAGTTCTATTTTCATATTCTAATTTTACTTGAATTCTATAATTCAGCTACATATTTAATAGACAACAATAAAACAAAACCAAAAATTATTTTTTGTATTTATTTAAAAAATTATCAAATCCAATTTTAATTATTTAGATTCCTAAGTATTCCCGAATCGAATTTTTCTCAAATTGAAGCAATAAAAAACGTTTTATGTTTACATTAAAAATAGTTTTCTAAAATAGATTCAGATTTTTTTTTTAATACAGTTTGGAAAATAAATTTATTAATTTCTCCCAAAATTTAATTTGAAATTATATTTAATCAATTTTTAAAGACATAAATTTAAATTTATTTATTTTTCTTTTTCCAATAAAATGTAATTAAATCAAAATAACCTATTGTATATATAAAATTAATATTACATAATAATACTATATACACTTCTATATTATACATAACACAATGTAATTTAATAAAAAAGAAAATATTAAATTGTAAATATTGTTGTATACGAGACTTTATATTATATGGTACATACAATTTCTAAAAAAAATCTTATAGTTCACCGTCAAATGTATGTATTACATTTACATAATATATAATTTAAAAAAATTTTATTAAATTATGACGAATAGAAAAAATAATAGATTAATTTAAATAATAATTAAATTAAATTTTTATTAAATCCTTTCCATGTTAATTATCAGCAAAAAAATAAATTTCAAATTCTACAAATTATTTTTTTTATATTTAATAAATTAAATAAGTAGAAAGCAATTCAGTTATATATGAGACACACGGGACGGCACTAGGCGGGCACTATTACTTAATTTCAAACAAATTAATTATTACACGGGACTATTATTTAATTTCAAACAAAAAGATTTACAAAATTAATTTTTCCATAAAATGTATAGAACTCATTTAAAACTTTTGTTGCCGCAACAATTTTCCATTTACACAAGTATGTAAATTTTGATTAGAAATTTCTAAAGAAACTTAAGCCAAATGACTGTCATCTATTCAAGCAATAAAAACAAGGTATTTTTTTTTCTTTTAAATACCGGACCCAAATATATTATGTAAATGTAATTAATTTTTTTTTTTTTGTAATAAATAAAAAATAACAAACCACAATACATATCCTTATATTTTTTCGATATCAATTCAAATTATATAACAAAAAAAAAAGATAAAATAATTAAGAAAAAATTTCCAAACATTTCTTCATCTTTAAAAATAGAAATATATAAAATATAACGCAACAAAAATTTTAAAAGAAAAATAAAATTAAGAAATAAAAAAAAAATTACATAATCAAACTAAGAAACAAATTATTCTAAAATATTCAGAATAATATTATTAAATACGTTCTTTTTTTAGAAATATATAAATTTCTCTAGCAAAATAAAAATAAAATTTAAAAAAAAAAAAACAAATTAATTATTTATAAATTGATAATATTATATAATTATATTAAAAACATATTTAATACATTGAAAAGACAGAAATAGATAAAAAAAAAATTTATAAATAACTTGTGTATATCATCAAGTTTAAGATTTAAAATTGCATAAAATTAAAATAATATTCATTAAAATGTAAACAATTTACTTTAAATAAAATTGTATAAATTATTACATAATGTATTATGTACATATTAAGTTATTCTTATACATACACATATATTATACATAATATGCTTATATAATCAAAAATATGACAGAAAGTATTAAACCAAGTGGAAACCCATTATTAATCAAGTATCTATTATTCGCGTTGTTTAGTTTGAGTTTTCACATTTTAAGGAAAAACATTTCCTTAGAAATCCTAATTTTTGGATAACAAAAAACAATTCTCTTTCTAATAAGTCAATAAATGAATGCAATACCCTAAATTAGATGCAGTTTTTATTGGCATTAACATTATAAGTCAATAAATGAATGCAATACCCTAAATTAGATGCAGTTTTTATTGGCATTAACATTTTCAAATAATTTGTCATACGATGTTTTTAATACAATAATTTTTAAAATTTATACCTACTCTCATTAAACTAGATGCATCTATTTAACGTTACTGTCGAATTAAAATTATCAACAATTTATGTTTATTGAGGTCAAAATACTAGAATAAGAACAAGACTGTTAAAAAATCCAAACCGAGTATATATTTTTGTAGCCAAACAAAAATATTATTGCAGAAATTTTTTGATACTCCTAAAAAATTGAAAATTTAGAAAAAAAAGAGCACTTATTATGAGGCATGAAAGTTTTTAATAAAAAAATCTTTAATTTATACTTATTTTATCTTCAGTTGAAGATTAATACTTTCCCTTAACCTGTGTAAAAGAACATTAGGACATTGGTTTTCATTGTTCGCACCATAATTTTTACCATTACTTTTATATTATATTTAAAAATAAAATATTTTTAATAAAAGAAAGAAATTATTTTATAATAGTTTCCTAATAACAATAATAATTTGATGAATATTAAAAGATTGTTCTAAAAAAAATTTCTCTACAATATAATTGTTATAACTATGAAGATCATTGAATGCATTATTTAAGCATATTACAATATGGTACTGATATCGATATAAAAATATACTTAATATACATGTCATTACAAAAAAAAATCCATAAATAATGCATGTAATTATACGTATACACATACATATATTTGTAATATAATATAGTATATAATTTTTAGGTTAGTACTTGTTGCATTTGTTTTTAACTTTAAAATTATCAATTTTAAATAAAAGTAATTATTGATTTAAAATTTGCTTTGTTTCATTTCATTATTTCGAGCTTAAAGTAGACTGCTAATTCAAGTGAGACTTTGTAATTATAAAACAATAGTTACAGGTGGTCAGGTACCATAAAATTAAAAAAAAATAATTGTCAATCAACTGAGTTACAAACTAAAAAATCGAACTAAAGTAAAAATAAAAGGTAAAAAATTCTAAAAAGTAATTAAAATTTTTATCATTATTTTAATTATTTTTTATTGCATTCGTATTTATATGTTCCTTTATTGTCTCTTATTATTAAGGTTTTTAAGTGGTTTAGATCTTGAGCTAGGAAAATATTAGTAAATGTTAAATCTAAATCCTCTCCACCCGTTTGAGTTTTTAAAATAAGTTGGAAATCACATTTTCCTAACTGATCTTCTTTTTTCAAATTTGAAATTTGGATAAGATTCATTTTAGTATTCTCCAGCTCATTTTTCAAATTTTCTAATTTTTCATTCCTTATTTTTAAATCTTCAATCAGTTGACTGTTTAATGCCTCTAGTTCTTTTATTTTACTCCGACAATTTTCTAAATCGCTACTATTTTTTTTCATCCCATCAACTAGTAATTCATTAATATTTTTTGTATTTCTGCTATTGTTTTGAGATCTGATTCATCTTGCATTTTTTCCAATAATTCACTTGAAATTTGAGGAATGGGACAAGTTTTGAGTAAGGGATCTAACTTTTGCATGTTAGGAATAGATAATTCATCAGGAATTAGACATGAACGCATAAAATCCAAAGGAAAACAATTTTTCTTTCTATTTTCAACATACGATTCTATTATATTATGAACTTTCCAAGCTACACATTTATTATTAGATTTTGAAGTGGCTTGATATTTTGAATACGCTTTAATGGTATCACAAACAACTTGACGCCATTTTTTTTTATTTATATAATTTTCATTATAAGAATTTATATCTTGGTTTTTATAGAAAGCTTTAAAACTGCTATTAACAATTGTACAAACCAAGCGTGCCTCATTTTTGGTCATATCGACTATATTTCTTAAATTACAATATAGTTGCTCTTTATTCATAACAAACTTACGTTCATAATCGCATGTTATCTTCTGGGTTTTAACATGTAATAAAACGAATATAATAGAATCAACCGACTTTTTTGCCTTACATTCAGAAATTCCACACGCTATTATAATCTTGACTATGGTACATGCAATGTTGAATACATTATTAAATAATTTTGTTTGTTCATTCATTTTAAAGAAACATTGGCTTATGTAGTTTTCCTAAAAATTAAGTTTTTTTGTTCGGAATAATAACCTTCTGATTTAGTTCTTATTTTCGAAATAACCTTTTCTTGTTCATTCGTTCACGAAATGTAAAATGAAGAAATTTTTTGAAGTTTTAAATTTTAAATTACAAATTGAATAAATTTTACTACGACTAATCTATTGAAAAATAAAGTATAAAATTTTACAAATGACTACTTTTTTAATACATATTATGTATAGCATAAAAAATTTCTTACAAAAAATAGAATTTCACTTTCTAATTCCATTTACCTAAAAGAATGAACTTAATCTAATGAAATTATGATTGCTTATACATATATGGTTGCCCGTGTTTTCTTCACAAAATAGAATTTCAAAAAGAAATTGGACAAAATTAACTGAATCCTATTTATTAAGAATATGAATTACAGTACAAACTTAATAAAATTTAACAACAGATGGAATGCTATTTAAAACAAATTCTAATACAAGTAATTTTTTACAAAAAATACGATTTTTGTATTTCCGAAAAAACAATTTAATACAAATTATGCGAAAAGTAAGAATTTTACTCAGCTGCACAAAATTGAATTCCTTTCACTTTTTATTCTTGCCTAATTAAGTATAGATTTTCAGAGCTAAGCATGATTTTTTAAGTGATTAAAATAACCAGCAGTTTGAGCAAATGCTTTTCCACATCTGCTACATACATGATTTTTCTTTCCAGTGTGTAATTTTTTATGTTCTCTCAAAACACTGTATCTAGCAAAACCCTTGAAACATATATCACATTGCAAAGGTTTTTCGCCTGTGTGTGTTCGAACATGTTCTTTGAGTCGTCCGTGTTCCACAAACTTTTTATCGCAATATTCACATTGATAAGGACGTTCATTATAACTCATATGTCGTAATTTCATATGTTTTCTGAATGCGGACTAAAAAAAATACATAATATATAAAAGTACAACGCACATTAGTATTTATTTACCTTATTTCTGTATTCAATACCACAAATTTCACATTTTCCGAGAATTTCTGAAAAATTTTTCTAGTGAATGTTTATTTAATATGAATAAATAGAATTAATACCTCCGGTATGACGCCTTTCGTGATAATTTCTTAGCTGATCAGTTTTAAAAGTTTTACCACAGCCCCCATCATATCGACATTCAAATGGTCTTTCATCAGTGTGTTTATATATAAAATGCAGATCTAAATTATGTTTCAAAGAAAATGCTGCAGGACACAATTGACAAATAAAAGGACGTTCTCCAGTATGGGTTCTTATATGGTTCTTCAATATAATTGAACTTTGACATACCTTATTACAAAATTCGCACTTAAGCTCATTACTTTGATGAACTAATAAATGACGTTTCCAATATATTAAAGAAACAAACTGTCTTTTACAATATGAACATTCATAAGATTTTTTTGAGTTCGACTTTTGTGAATTTCCTTTTATGTAGCAGTCTGGGTGCTGAACTTTGATGTGTTCAATTATGTCTATACCTTTAAAGGATTTGAAGCATATAGTACACTGTCCATTGTTATAATGCTTTTTTCTATGAGAAATTAATTCATTTTCATTATTAAAAAATCTTGGACATTCTCTACATAAATATATTCCTTTATTCTGAAGAGCTTCGTAACAGTTTTTCGCATTTATTTTGATTAATTTTTGTACTTTCAGACATTTACTTTGATCATGGTTTTGAGTATCTTTGAATTTAATATTGCAATGAGGACATTTAATAGAATTTTCATTTTTTTTACTATACCGAGTACCTTGAAAATATTCTTTTAGGCATGTCTCATTCTCGCTTATAGAAGCTTCTGAATTGCCGTCAATTTCTCTTGATTTGTCACAATCAGAACATAAATTTTTAAACTGAAAAATTTCATTATCTTCATTTAAATGTTTTCCGCAATTTTTGCATTTGATAAATATCTCAAACTCACTATAATTTTTGTTTTCAAAATCATCTCCGTTTTCATTATGTTTTACGTCGACAGTGAGTGTACAACTCCCATTGATATCAGCAGATATGTTATTATTTCTATTTTGCACATGGTTTTTTTCTGTTATTGTAATATTATCAACATGAGTTTTTTCGTGATTTTGTAAGTCCTTAACGTTTTCATAATATCTGGGGCAATCTTTACACAAATATATACCCTCTATTTGTAAGAATTTCAAATTTCTATCATGTTTTGCTATTCTTTTTTGTATTATTTCACACTTTTCGCAATCGTGCTTCTCATCTAAACGAAAACTTAACTCACAATATTGACAATACCTAATTGTTGTAACAGTTTCAGTTCTGAAAATTTTATCATCCGAATCGCAATCAGTCTCTATCTCAATTTTTATAATTTCATTAGGGAGCTTTTCGTCATTTTCATCGCTACTTGAATTTCTACTATTACTAGAAATTCCACTGAATTCGTCTTCAGTTTTAAAGTTACAAGACATATTTTCCAAAATATCTAAATCTGCAATTTCATATTTTGTACATTCTCCATTTACATATGCAGAAGATTCAGAATCATTATCAAAAATACTGTTTTCATTAACTTTTATGTTATAATCAAGAACTTCTATGTTTTGATATTGCTTTTCATCCAATGCATTTAATTCACTATTGGAAAAACTAGACGGGTTGTGTAAAGTTAAACTATTTTTATCGGCCAAAAAGTGATTCAAGTTATGTTTTTTGAAAGATTCAAAACTGGAAAACTTATTGTTACAATGAATGCAAAAAAAGTAGTAAGAAGAATTTTTTGTTAAATATATTTCACCGCACTTAATATTAATAATTTCCATTTTAATACTTCGTCGTCTCTATTTTTAAACAAAATATTTTGTTTACAAAGTTTTTGACTTACTAGCTGGTAGGGATGCTGCGATTCAAAACAATACTTCAAAGTAGTCTCCAGAGTAAATAACTCATATAGAACTCTTACTCATATTGTGAGTCACTTAAAATTGAATTCAATTAATATATAATTTGAGTAGCACATCGATTTGTTTTTATCTCAATTTTATTTGAACATTGTGAAAATTTAAAGAAATAATTTAAAATTGTTATTTTCAGTGTTAAGGTTTGATTTTTAGATTCATCGCATTCAAATCAAACTCACAAAATTTTTCAAAATTAACACAAATCTTTCATTTAAAATTTTGTGTTGTTAAATTAAAGGCTAATCATTATATGTGTGCTTCACATGATCACGGAAAATTTCGTTTTCCAGTATCATCTAAATTAGACCGCACAGCAAACGGCAACACAGATTTGTTGTAATAAATGTATATTGACACATTTAGCAAACGTCCGAAACAATAAAAAAAATCTAAAACAGTTTTTTAATTCTAACAAAGCATTGAAAAGAAAAATTAAATTCTTTGGAATTGTAACACGTACAATTAGTTGTAGCAACTAGAAGCAAGGTTTTAGAACACTACTTTTTTTGGTGAATGCACTTTTACAGAAATGGCATTTTGGTTTTCTTTTAAGATTACTTTCTCTTTTATTTTGAAAAAGATATGATTTTAACGTATCTGGCGATGGACGGTCACTTTGACAAAAAGGTCAAATTCATGTGGCAATTGGTGTCACCATTTAGATTTCAACTTGGTAGAAATTAAATGACATTTTGGGTTGACCGTTACTTCCCACAAAAATGTCATGCGTTTTTGCTATTACAGATTGAATTCCTATTGAAATTGAAACAAATGGCAATTTCATATTTGAATAATAATTTTAGAAGTAAGTTTAGACAAAAATTTTTAAACGAGTTGAATGATTGGTTAATGTAAATTCATGTACATTCTTCAAATTCATGTAATCGTCAACCTAATTAAATTTCTTGTTTAAAATTTTAAGCTGCAAATACAAAGAAAAAATTTCGAATGATTTAGTATCTAAATTCCACAAGATTTTTTTATTATTTTGGACGCGAACCATTTTTTCCTATGAGTGGCTTTTAGTTATGAGGTAATAATATGAAGTTTTAAGCGCTGCGATAGATTAAAACCTGTGTTTCTGTGACATACGTTTCATTCCTCTTGCTTCATTTAATTGTTTTCAAACGTTTCATTCCACTTGTTAACACACCTTTAAAAAAAATTTGAAATTTTTAAATGCACTAAAGTATTTGCAGTTCTTGTCTGATCTAATGTTATTATAATAATAAAAAATGGACGTCTTACAAATAATTCTATATTTTTTAATAGTTGTTGCAAGCCAAAAAAGTTTATGTGCTAAGAAATTAATCAAAAATTTACAATGTTATAAAAAAATAGCAAAACAAAAAAAAATTTGTAGTACAAGAAAAAAATTACCATTGAGTGACGTGTTTATTCACTGAAAACAAAAGCAGCTAAAAATTTTAAAAATAAAATGGATTTAATTTATGAATAAAATATAAGAGTTTTTATTTTTTAACATTTTTAACATGTACATAATATATATGTATGTATGTTCATTTTATATAAAAAGAATATTAAGATTTTAAATTTATTTTAACTAAGACTAAAATTTTTCTTTAAATTTTGATTCTTTTAATTTTTAATTTACAAAATAAAACAAAACAAGTGTTCTAGAATCAAGATTAACAAGTAAAAAAATTATTTACGTAAGTATTGGATTTTATTTTGCATTTTATACTTAGCTCAAATACATAAAATAAAATTTATTAAAGAATACAAAAAAAATATATTTTTGACAAAATTTAAAATACAATTTAGAATGAGCTGTATTGGAAAAATAAGAATTTTCTGTTTCACATATGTATAATGTATATTTTTATATAATAATGTATATAACATACCATAATTAATATTATTTTAACTTAAAATTTATATATTATAATAAAAATATTTGTATATAATTACATAAAAACAATTTTATGATTTATATTAAAAAGTTTTCAGATTAATTTTTGTTTATATTTTAATCCCGATCCCTATCTCGTCTGTCTCTCATACTGACTTGGGCCATTGTGATGTATTGTCTTACTAGCCTAGAAATTTCATGAGCTTGTTCGGTTTGTACGCGTATAACACGTTGTTGCATTAAATTACCAACTTTCATGTCTAAGAAAAGAGCTCCATCTTCAGAGCGTACCTAAAAAATTTTTGGTGATTAAAAAAAAAATGAATATTTGAAATGAAATTTTATTTTATTTAAAATATATGTATATACCTTTCTAGTTGATATTACTTCCATAAATGGCCAGTGTTGTAATGTTTCATGACTATTTGGATCTAAGAAAAGTACACCGCGACGATTTAATGCTAATATAAGGTCACGCCACATCGGATTCGAATCTTCAACATGTGGTCCTTCTTCTGCCCAAATTCTTTTAACAGCAAAGAAACTGCTTCCAAATAATGGCCATGTCGATAATACACCTAAAAATTGTGCTTTAACTTGACCAGGACTTAACCCAGCTATCGCTGGCCAAGCATTTTGCACTAAACCAACCCATTGAGCTGGTCGAATTTCTCTAATACCTAATGCTGGTTTTGGTAACAAAAATTTAATTTCTTTCATTGCTGGAACATGATTTAAATCAGCAGCTCTATGTAATAATGTAGCAATTCTTGCCATATCGTGAACAATTTCTGGGGGTGGTGCATTACCATTTGGTAATTCTAGTAGTAAACCTTCTAAATAATCTGGTGCGACTTGATTAAATAGTACTTCAACATAAAGTGGGGTTGGTGCTGGATCCCTTTTTAATGGAAAATGCCAAACACTACGACAGAATATCAAATAAAATGGTTGCCCTGATTTTAATAATTCTGTTGTAACATCTAATATATATTCATCGGCTGCTAATGGCATAGTAAATGCATCACCTTGTACTATGCAATATAATGAGAATTCTTGTTGTTCAGCTTCAGATTCGATACCCAAAAGTAAACATAATTCTGCAATAACATCAGCAACAACAGTTGAACATCTTGTATTAACAACACGTTCAGCTCCACCAGGGAGTCTATATATTTGACGACGTGCAGATCGTCCAGCTGAAACTGCAGTTACTTCTTCAACGCTTGGCACATTTTTACGTCCACCACAACGAGCAGTTTTTCTTAAATTAGTTAAACAAACAGCTGCTGTACCATGACACGAACGTCTACGATCTGATGCAGCTGTTGTTAAATGTTCCATTAGATACGGTCTTAAAGCTTCTGAACAACCAAAATACGCGGCTAATATACTTAATAAACGCCAAGCTCTTTGAGATGAATCTGGGCATGGAGAACGATTCGCTGTAGTTTGTTTCATTAATTGACAATAAACTTCATCTCGTAAGGCTAAATATTTGTGACAATGCTAAAATACACAATTTTAAAATTTTTTATTAATAAAAATTAACTAAAATTATTTTTAAACAGATATTAGCACACATTTATTATATGAAATATTTAATTTATACCATTAAAACTGTGTAGACACATTTAACTTCAGACATTTCTGGATCTGGTGGAATATCTCCACAATATCTTAGAATACAATCAAAACATTCTAATGACAAAGAAGCTAAATCTGGAGGTAATCGTAATAATGGTGCTCTTATTGGTGTTCCTTGCCATTTAACAAGATCAGCATATGATCTTGCTGAGGAAGTTGAACGTTTCTCACCACGTGAACCAGCTGAGCTTGTCCTATGTTCTTCAGGTGATACACTAAAAAATAAAATTTAATAGAAAATTAATATATATATATATGTGTATCAAAGTGCATAATACAGATACACGATGATAAAGTTTTATTTTAAAATATTTCATTTGTTTAAATTTAAATGTAAATTACATAATGTTAAAAAAAAATTATGCATGTAAGATGACATAACAAAAGAATTTAATAAACGTTTTCCCATAATAATAATCTGTTCATTTTCTTGATGAAGATAATTAAAAAATTTAATTGTGTGAATTAATTATTGTTGAAAGTTTCATCAACAAAATGAAAATTTCTTTGAATTTAAATTTTTTCATGTAATAAATCAAAGTATCTGCCTACTTCTATGTGCTTACTACAAAACAAACTTCTATATTGTGTTAGTTAACTTGGTATCTTTTGTATATTATAATTTATAAGTATGTACGAAATTATAAATAAGAAATTTGAATTACATTTCCTTTCAATAGTTCATACGAGATTTTGAAAACAAGTTTTGTACTTAGTATGTAAGTAGGTAATTGGATTTCATGTGTTGTGTAGCTCCATAATTGGGTGAGAATGTTTGTATAGTCTTTTATAGATATTTTTTCAAAATTAAGGAAATAATCTGTCATTACTCAATTTGTCATGATAAAAATAATTAAATAGTTTTCCAAATCATAAACTGTGTATATGTATATATAACGTAAATTTAAGAATTAGGTTTGGATTTTTTTTATAAAATTAAATTATATTAATATTTTATACGATAATACTTATGGGATGAAATTTCAAAAAAAAAAAAAATAAAGATAATTTAAATAGTTATACCTAAAATTTAAAAAAAATATCATAGGTTCTAATTGGGCCCAAATAATTATATGGGTTTGTTTGACAAATTGATGTTTATTTGCCACTGATTCTTTATAAAAGTTCATAATGGAATCTGCCGCTAAATCAGAACATAGAGTAGATAAATGTATGTAAATTAATATACTCGTATGTAAAAATTATTTTATAGAAATTGAAATATCAGAGGAAAATATTATTTTTGATTAGAGAAAAATTCTGTCGCTTTTTGTATGTGAAATGTAAACCTTTATCATATTCTATGTTCAAAATTAGTTAAGGTTTGATTGAAATTAAAAATACTTTAATGAAATGATTGTAGTTTAGTGCAATTTTTTTGATATATTTTATTTTTATTTATATATATTAACAGTTATTATCAATATTTTTAAGCTCCAGCATCAAAATTCATAATCTTTTCCCTAAGATTCTTAATCTCTATTATCTAGTTCAATATTTTAAAAATTTTTCTTTTATAAAATTATATTTCTTTTTAGATTCTATTCTTTTTTAGATTAATTTTAAATAAGAAATGAATAATTATTATATTTATTGGAAGTGAACACAACATACTATTGTTATATAGAATAAGAATAATTGAAGGAAGAACTCAAGAAGTATTATGTAGAGAAATATAACTACATATCTGCGATATTATTGTTAGTGCTATTTCTAAGCAAAATTTTATGAAATTTTAACAACAGTTGTAATAAATAACAAATATAAAGCAAATACAGCAAAGTTGTAAATTAGAAAAATTTTTTATTTTTTTTTTGTTCTTCAAAAAATTTTTTTATTCATAAGTAGCTACTTGTGGTTAAAACAATTATTTTTAGAAAACGAATCATTAAAATACACCTGTAATTTGAAATTTCCTGTAGGTTACCAAAAGGGAACTGACTAATTATAATTATATAGTAAAAATTAAAAATTTGCTTTACGTAACAAAATAAGATTATTTTAATTTTACAGTGTTGATTGATTTTATTTTTGTATACTTATAACCACGTCTATGTATAAATGTGCAATATTCAGCATTCAATACAAATAAACAGTAATTTACAAAATATTAGGAACAAATCTGATTTTATTGAACCTAACTATCAAGTTTTATTAGAAAAATTCAGAATATTTCCAAATTTATAAGTATAATACTTTTAATTGGAATTTCTTGAAAGAAAAACTGTTTCTTTCTCTTAATAAATATTTCAGAATTCATAAATATTAATTAATATTTAACAATTCACACCTATACAAAAGATTTATTTCTCTAGAATGGCATACTTGCCGACTTCAAATGCTTATATTAAATTTAATCCAGGAACGAAATTTTAAATAAGTACATTTTATTTCTTTATAAATCATTATGAATTATCCAAAATATTCTAAAATTCCCTTTCTTATTAACTTTATCTAAATTTAATTAAAACAATTTTTTTCTTTTGAACGCCACTGTATATATTTTTTTCAAATGTGCGTGTAAAATTTTATGTTATACAATTATGTAGTTGTTTTACTATCATTAGACCGTTTAATTTTAAAAAATTAAAGTAATAAAGTTCAATTTGATATTGGCATTCACAAATAATAGTTTTCAAGTAAAAATTATTTATTTGAAGAATTATCAATATGAAAAAAAGGGCAAAGTAGAAAACAACAAAAAATTTTTCAATCACAAAAAGAAAAATAAAGAAATATTTTAAATATAGAAAAAAAATTTATAATTTTTCCTGGAGGTTTTTCGCTTATTAAACTTACATTGCATAGTGCATTAAACATCTTCAAGGTTATAAAATATTTGCTTGTAGAAACAAAATATTATATAAAAATTGGAATTAATTACTTGTAATCGTTAATAATGTAATAAAAATGGAAATTTTAGGTTTTCCATTTGAAAGCAATTTTCAAGGAAAACTGTGCATAATTATTAATTATTGGGCTTTGTAATTAAATAATGAAAATATTATGAATAAATTTTGTATTTATGTTCTTATAATAGTTTATAATAAACATTAATTTCTATAATTATTGAGATCATGTATAATAAAAGGTTATTGATTTTTATAATATTTCTTGTAATTTCATATCTTTTTTAGCAAAAATATGCAAACATTTTAAAAGCACGTTAGTACATAAGCTTAGATCAATTATGATTTATGACTAATGATCGTAGTTATAGGATTTAAAGGGAAAAATGTTCTATTTGAATAACATTTTTTATTTGAATGTAAAACACTAAGTAAAGAGTTACAAGACTATAATAACAAAATCTTAACCAAATTTTTATTATTATAAATGAACCAAAAATAAATTCAAATTTTGGACAGGAAGGCAATTATTTAAATATTTTCAATTTACATAATAAAAATTAGGTTAATGCAAAAAAATTTTCAATAAATTGTTTTTAATTATTTTGTTTGTTATAAAATTAAAAATTTAAATTTCAAATTGTCTATAGAGACAATATTAAATTAAATAATAACGAAATTCCCACAAAATTTTATGAGAAAGAAATTGTTAAAAAAAAAAAAATTTTTTCGATTATTAATTTCGAGATTTGAAATAAAATTTCTTAATTCAAATTTAAATTTATTGTGTGAATATGCTGTAGCTATTTGTATTATTTAATTATTCAAATTGGGTTTGTAAGTTTGAAATTATGAAATACTTTTTATAATGTAATTGAAGTGTAATTGTTTTTTATATTTGGTACAGAGAGAGAGAGAGAAAGAGAGAAAAATAGGATTCATACAAAAGTGCGTACAACATGCGTAAAATAAGTGAGAAATAAATTAATTAATAAAAATAATCCTATGTTTGTTGAACAGTATAGCTTCAAATTATTAGAATAATTACTTATAAAAATGGAAGGTAACTTGTAAAGTTACTTGAATATAGATATGTTCTGGTTCTAGTTAATCTATACAGTTCGTTTTTGACTACTTCTGTATTTCCATTTTGCAATTTTAAACATCGAAGCCGATATAATTTTTGTTTATTAATTCAAACTGCTATATTTTGTTAAGTTTCTGTAAGATATGAATTTTGGTAGACGAGCAGGTTTAATCTAAATTTCCACGGCATAGTATGTACTCGTACATTTGTTTTCAGGAAGATATTTTTATCGATATGCACAACTTAATAGGAACACTCAGTAGTTTTCAAAATTAATATGATCAAAATATAAGAGAAAAACATCTATTGAGTATAGTGAAATAATTTTTCCGAATTATTGAATTTGAGCAAATGTACTTTTTATAAATGAAAACCGCCTTTTACATATTATGTAGGTCTTAATGCAGTTCCTTGTACTTTTATAATACAATTAATTGTTTGATTTTAAAAGCTCCTTGGTAGGTTATAGTTTAGTTAAGTCTTAAATAATAATTAATCAGCAATCAGTTAGAAAAATTTTGCTCTTTCAAAATAGCATTTAAATGTGTAGATTAAATTTAAAATATATTGCATATAATTCCCATATTTAATATAGAAAATAATTCAAATAATTTGACAATTTAAATAATATTTACTGTAATACTGTTATATAATTTTATAATTCATTTGTAATCCAATTTAATCAATTGTATTTCATACACACATAAGTACTAACATTCATAACATTTATTTTTTACCTTAACATCGTTTCCATTTAGAAACTGCTTAAATCTTCTAATTTATTTTTTTTATTTTTAGCTTTCTTTTCTTCATTTAAGTTCGCGCACATATTTTTAACTTTTTAATTTCTAAGCTACTGGAAAAATTTTTTTTCTTTTTCCATTTTTGTTGTTTTTTTTTTAAATTTTTCATTTACAATAATTTCATATTACATTCTTATTTTTAAAAAATTTATTTCAAAATTATTAAAAATTAAAAAAAAAAGCAAAAATTTTCTTAATTTTTTTATTTCGTTTTTTTTTTTTCTATGTCAAATGTTAAATGTTATCAGATCATCACTATTTTAAGTTGAAATTGAAAAAGAGAAAAAAAATATAATAAAGCACGTTCAGTTCACACCGTAATTATTTCTTCAATTAAAGATTAAAGTAGCGAAAAGTATGGGTAAAGAAGACCATTTACCATCGACCACAAACTGAAAACAAATTTTTTTTTTTTTTAATTTTTTAATGAGCGTTTTTTTATATAATTAAAAAAAATTTTTTTTTTTTGTTTTTTC